AAAAACACTGACAATTTTACAGTAGATCATCATTGCTTTTCCAGAAAGGATAGAACAAGAAGCAATGGGCTTAAACTGCAGCAAGGGAGGTTTAGATTGGACATTAGGAAAAAGTTCCTAACTGTCAGGGTAGTCAGACACTGGAATAAATTGTCCAGGGAGGTTGTGGAATCTCCACCTGTGGAGATATTTAAGAGTAGGTTAGATAAATATCTATCAAGGATGGTCAAGACAGTATTTGGTCCTGCCATGAGGACCAAGGTCCCTTCCAGTCCCAGTATTCTATGATTCTATGCATGGGCAAGTCCTTAGCAGCAACTTTAGTAAGACAGCACCCTTAGAAGCATGGCAGACATTTTTGTCCCCTTTTCCCTGAACCCAGCGTCAGTTCTCTTTTGTTTCAGCACAACTCTTAATGGACATGGGCCTGCCTAGGTGGGCGAGGTCATATATCTCATGAGATAAGCTCTTAGGGTATGTCTACACTACCCCGCTAGTTCGAACTAGGAGGGTAATGTAGGCATACCGCACTTGCAAATGAAGCCCGGGATTTGAGGAGTAACGGTAGTTCGAACTAGGAAGCCTAGTTCGAACTACCTAGTTCGTGCCGTGTGTAGCCGCGCGGCACAGGGTTCGAACAAGCGGGGATTTAAAAATGGCGGAGCCCCGCTTATGCAAATGAAGCCCGGGATTTGAGGAGTAACGGTAGTTCGAACTAGGAAGCCTAGTTCGAACTACCTAGTTCGTGCCGTGTGTAGCCGCGCGGCACAGGGTTCGAACAAGCGGGGATTTAAAAATGGCGGAGCCCCGCTTATGCAAATGAAGCCCGGGATTTGAGGAGTAACGGTAGTTCGAACTAGGAAGCCTAGTTCGAACTACCTAGTTCGTGCCGTGTGTAGCCGCGCGGCACAGGGTTCGAACAAGCGGGGATTTAAAAATGGCGGAGCCCCGCTTATGCAAATGAAGCCCGGGATTTGAGGAGTAACGGTAGTTCGAACTAGGAAGCCTAGTTCGAACTACCTAGTTCGTGCCGTGTGTAGCCGCGCGGCACAGGGTTCGAACAAGCGGGGATTTAAAAATGGCGGAGCCCCGCTTATGCAAATGAAGCCCGGGATTTGAGGAGTAACGGTAGTTCGAACTAGGAAGCCTAGTTCGAACTACCTAGTTCGTGCCGTGTGTAGCCGCGCGGCACAGGGTTCGAACAAGCGGGGATTTAAAAATGGCGGAGCCCCGCTTATGCAAATGAAGCCCGGGATTTGAGGAGTAACGGTAGTTCGAACTAGGAAGCCTAGTTCGAACTACCTAGTTCGTGCCGTGTGTAGCCGCGCGGCACAGGGTTCGAACAAGCGGGGATTTAAAAATGGCGGAGCCCCGCTTATGCAAATGAAGCCCGGGATTTGAGGAGTAACGGTAGTTCGAACTAGGAAGCCTAGTTCGAACTACCTAGTTCGTGCCGTGTGTAGCCGCGCGGCACAGGGTTCGAACAAGCGGGGATTTAAAAATGGCGGAGCCCCGCTTATGCAAATGAAGCCCGGGATTTGAGGAGTAACGGTAGTTCGAACTAGGAAGCCTAGTTCGAACTACCTAGTTCGTGCCGTGTGTAGCCGCGCGGCACAGGGTTCGAACAAGCGGGGATTTAAAAATGGCGGAGCCCCGCTTATGCAAATGAAGCCCGGGATTTGAGGAGTAACGGTAGTTCGAACTAGGAAGCCTAGTTCGAACTACCTAGTTCGTGCCGTGTGTAGCCGCGCGGCACAGGGTTCGAACAAGCGGGGATTTAAAAATGGCGGAGCCCCGCTTATGCAAATGAAGCCCGGGATTTGAGGAGTAACGGTAGTTCGAACTAGGAAGCCTAGTTCGAACTACCTAGTTCGTGCCGTGTGTAGCCGCGCGGCACAGGGTTCGAACAAGCGGGGATTTAAAAATGGCGGAGCCCCGCTTATGCAAATGAAGCCCGGGATTTGAGGAGTAACGGTAGTTCGAACTAGGAAGCCTAGTTCGAACTACCTAGTTCGTGCCGTGTGTAGCCGCGCGGCACAGGGTTCGAACAAGCGGGGATTTAAAAATGGCGGAGCCCCGCTTATGCAAATGAAGCCCGGGATTTGAGGAGTAACGGTAGTTCGAACTAGGAAGCCTAGTTCGAACTACCTAGTTCGTGCCGTGTGTAGCCGCGCGGCACAGGGTTCGAACAAGCGGGGATTTAAAAATGGCGGAGCCCCGCTTATGCAAATGAAGCCCGGGATTTGAGGAGTAACGGTAGTTCGAACTAGGAAGCCTAGTTCGAACTACCTAGTTCGTGCCGTGTGTAGCCGCGCGGCACAGGGTTCGAACAAGCGGGGATTTAAAAATGGCGGAGCCCCGCTTATGCAAATGAAGCCCGGGATTTGAGGAGTAACGGTAGTTCGAACTAGGAAGCCTAGTTCGAACTACCTAGTTCGTGCCGTGTGTAGCCGCGCGGCACAGGGTTCGAACAAGCGGGGATTTAAAAATGGCGGAGCCCCGCTTATGCAAATGAAGCCCGGGATTTGAGGAGTAACGGTAGTTCGAACTAGGAAGCCTAGTTCGAACTACCTAGTTCGTGCCGTGTGTAGCCGCGCGGCACAGGGTTCGAACAAGCGGGGATTTAAAAATGGCGGAGCCCCGCTTATGCAAATGAAGCCCGGGATTTGAATTTCCCGGGCTTCATTTGCAAGTGCGGTATGCCTACATTACCCTCCTAGTTCGAACTAGCGGGGTAGTGTAGACATACCCTTACTGGGGAAAGAGAGAAGCTTCTAAGCGTATGCAGAGCTCTTCTTCACCAGAGGAGGGTTAGTGGGTTACAGACTGTCATCACAAGACAAATCCAGTGTCTCTTGCATAGGCGTCGACTCTGTGGGTGCTTCGGGGCTGGAGCACCCACGGGGAAAACTGATGGGAGTTGAGCATCCAGCAGCAGCCCCCTATCAGCTGTCCCCTCTCCCCAGCATGTCTCACCCACTGCAATCAGCTGTGTCCCAGATATTAAGGAGGCTTTTTGGAAGGGTGAGGGGCAGAGGAATAAGGACATGGCCTGCTCAGGAGAGGGGGTAGAACTGGGTGGGAAGAGGCAGGGCAGGGGTGGGGCATTGGGGGAAGGGGCGGAGTGGGGGTGGGACCTGGGGCAGAGCCAGAGCTTGAGCACCTGCTGGCACTTTTGAAAGTTGGTATCTGTGCCCGATTGAGTCAGTGATTTGGGGGAATCTAGCTTAAGTCCAGGAGCTTGAATACATAACACTGCTGGATGGACTCAACAGAGATACCAGTTTGGGGTCTCATTACAACCCTCTGTAACACACGAACTCTGCTCAGTCCTATAGCTGCAGAACGGTCAAGAGCCCATTTCAATTTCAATGGTTTCTGGCAACATTATGTTAACTCCTTATGCTTAACAATCTACCCCAGCTTGCATTTAGTTGTCATCAGGAGGACTTGTCCAGACTTGGCAAAGGGCTCTGTGCGGCTTGAAAGCTTGTCTCACACCAGCGGCAGGTGGTCTAGAAAAGATATTACCACCCCCAGCCTGTTTCTCTATCCCAGGACCGGCCTGTCTATACCTGCAAACAACAGGGGTATGTCTCACAGGGCAACGAACCACCTGCCCTGGAAGGTTTAGCAGAGGGGCCCAACTTTGTAGAGTATGGATTGAGCAGTTTTTAGTCCGGGCCAGATCCTCAGTTGGTGTAAATCAGCTCCACAGGAGGGTTTTGGCCCCTGATGGTGGTGCACGTGGCTTAGGGTGGTGGTACATCATAGGGATGTGATAGACGTACAGTTTAAATGGTTAACTGATGAGCAGTTATAATCCACTTCATGTCGTCATTAGTCTTTTGTCTCTGGTGCTTTTTACCTGCACTATTACAAAGAGACAGTCTGTGGGGGTGGGCAGAAGGGAGTGTGGGCATGAGCCTAAGGCTCAGATACCTCCTCTATCAGCTCCTTGAGTATCCTGGGATGCATTTCATCAGGACCTGGTGACTTGCTGACATCTAACTTTCCTAAGTGATTTTTAACTTGTTCTTTGTGTAGCCTATCTTCTAAACTTACCCTCTCTCTGCTTGTATTCACTACGTTAGGCACACCTCCAGACTTCTCGGTGAAGACCGAAACAAAGAAGTCATTTTTATAGCCTTGTGTGATTTCCCTATATAGAGCCCTGCAAATCCCCAGACATCTGCTTTATCTCCACAGACGGGCATGTGGATACGCGAGGGTCATTTTTGCAGATGTAGGTACCACATTTTGGATCTGCGCAGGGCTCTGCTTATTTGCTGATTCTTCATAATTTCCAGGAACAAAACAAAATTACTTTTGCACAAATAATTTTTGGCGACCTGAAATCTCAAGTTATAGCTTCAGCTGCTGTCATGGCTCCTTCCCCACTCTAGCACAATAAATGCAGAAGTGGGGGCCAGCAAAAGTACCCCAAAACCTTATTTACCAGGCTTTGGTATAAAACTTCCCCCCAAAATCTTAACCTAGATTTTGCGGATAAAAATCTCCACTGCCACCCTGCAAGTATTGATACAAAAATCAGGGGAGAGATCACTTGGGAAATCTCACCCCTAAAGTACAAACCAGGACACAAAAATTAACCAATACAGGTTAATAAAAATAAAAGAGAAAGAACTTTTATTATCACCACAATATTCCTGTTGCAAGCATAATGACTTGATGGAAAAGTAACAAAATAATATACTCATGGAGAAAGAAACTCCACCATGGGCCTTGAACTTAGTTACAAAGGAAAGCCAAAACATTTTTTCAAGTGCACAGACATCAGATCCCATTTCCCAAACCATAAAACAATAAAACCTAACGGGTTTATCTAAACTTTACCCTACTTACAGAAAGTGAAGAATGGTTTCTTGGAGAGAGAGGCATAATGAAGAATGGTTTCTTGGAGAGAGAGAGGCGTTTGTCTCTCTCAGTAGGGGGGGGGGGGGGGACAAAAAAAAATTCCTTTGTCCCCGCTAGGAATGTAGGTAGGAATTTCAATTGGCCACTCCACCTGGCTTAGGTAAGGATAACCCCTTAGTTCCCAGGCTGCTGGCTAGCCCTCATGATCATGACAGCTGCCAACACAATACACGTGCTCTTCTCAAACACACTATTGCATCCACTCCAAGAACATATAACAGATATATACATGCACATATGCAACAAGCCTGGCATGCCCAGGGCCCGCCAGCCACAGGAAGAGGCAGATGTTTAGCTCCTCCGCAAGGCAGGCCCTAGGTACCCAAACTAGAGATACACGAAAGAAGAGGCAGCTTGCAGAACTGCAGGCCTCATGGGGCTGGGGTTCTTGGGGAGAAAGGAGGACTCTCCCTTCCCAGATGCCGTTAGATGACTTTTAGCTTTGCTTTGGGCTGCTGCTCCAAGGAGTAGGGGGAGCCTCTGCCCTTCTGGAGCTCCTCAGCAGTAAAGAGCTGGAAGGCAATTTCCTCACACCCGTGAGCCATCCCGCACTCAAACAGGCAGCCAAACAAGAGCGGTGCCTCCTGGCACACGGCCAGGTCCGAGTAGCCGCACGGCCCTTTGTACAGAATCCAGGGGGCTTTCCACTTGTCCTCCTCCAATGGGGAGCAATTGAGGTAGATGCCCAGGTTGACCCGCTTGTGTTTATCCGTCGGGTGGGAGTAAAGCAGCCACGACACGGCACTTGTGTGGGTGGCGGAGGTGTCATTCCCATGGTTCATCAGACTGGACTTCTCCTGGTCTGAGGCAGCTGACTCTTCTGACTCATCCACCTTCAGAAGCTCCAGTGTCGGGATGAAGCTCACCACACTCCCCTGGCATCCATGAGGGGGCTCATACAGCTGATTGCATGCAGAGGGGGTCTCGAAGGTCAGCCCCTGGTCTGTGCTGAGCGCCACTGCCCGGCACCGGTGCGGAGTGCGGGCACTGCAGTAGAGCACAGGGTCGCAGGCCTGGCACACTATCTCAGCCACCTCGCATTCCACAGTCTTCATTCTCTTCATCAGCTCACCTTTATGCCAGTCCTGCCCTTCATTATCACTATAGAAGACCAAGGACCGGGGCTGGGTGTAGCAGGGCAGCGGAAAGCTGCAGCAGCGGGCAGTGATGTGGTAGGCGTAAGCTGGGATCACCAGCCGCCCAGAGCTGAGCTGCACACCATGACCTGGTCCCACCGCAAACGTGGCCCAGTCCTTCAAGTCGTCCTCTAGCACCTTCTTTGTTAAGTCTATTAACGAGCTCCAGGTCTGGCCAGAGTCTCTGCTGCAGATGTAGCATAGCCGGGCAGCGTTCCGCCCGGTGTAGATCTGCCATTGCTCCGAGACATGCTGCCTCACGCAGATGAAGAACAGAAAGACAGTCTGGCTCTTCCACTCGTACACTGGGCAGGGGTTCATTGTGCGGTAACCTTTTAACACTGCGCTCTTCAAGGGCTCTGCAGGCTCCCACTGCAGCATAGAGAGACAGGAGAGAACGGGTAGGTCAGAGGTGTAAACAAAGGGGACACACTACTCAGGATATTGCAAGTACCATCCCGTACCTTAAGGACTGGCAGGGCCGCAGAGATCACCCTCAAGGGGAGCTGCTGGGCCCGCAACACTTCAAAAAACCAAGCAGGTGCCAAACTGAGGATCAAGAAGCTTCACTTAAGGCTCTTGATTTTGCCTTCCCCTAAGGCAGCCCAGGCTGAGCTGCAGTGGCTCCCCTGAGGGTGGCACTGGCTCCTGCTTTATCCTCCCTTCATGGATCCAGCCAGACACACGCTGGCAGTAAAGAGAGACAAGACACATGTCAGTCTCACAGCTCCAACTCCATGGGAAATGGACTGTCACAATCCCAAACAGACCCCCTGGCCCAACCTCCCTCTCTCCAACTGCTCTCTGAGGACATAGATGCCTGCACCTCATTTTGAAGCGAGCATCCCAGTGCAGGTCGGCAAACTCATAGTAGCTAGACCCCTGTGAGCGGCACAGACAGCGCTCTGAAGTCATGGCTGAGGCAGGGCTTCCAAGGGCTGCCTATGCTGCTATCTTCAGAGTGGCAATATTTCTAATTCAGGAGAAGCATCTCAGCAATGCGATCAGGTCCAGTTTTCATGGAGGGTTGAATTGTACTCTGAATTCCCTGCCCCGCTCAGCCAATACAGAAAGTGAGTGCTCTGCCCTGGGACGGAACAGGTTGCAGCATCTGAGAAATCAGCTGGGACATGGTGGGCCCTGTGCAAGACGTATCCAAATATATAATCCAGCGTCCCTGCCCTGAGAGCTTGCAAGCTGTACACAGGAGCAAAGATGCACCAGGGGATTCTGAGAAGGGAGTGAACAGATTGCTGAGAGCAGGAAAGGAGAGCTGATGGGGCAAGTGTCTGTGCAAAGTGCTGAGAAGCCTCAACTCCCTGTGGACTTGAAAAGGCATCTAAATTACCTCATCACAGCACTCTGCCCCTGGCAGAGTCTAGCCCTGCGCCAATATGGTTAGATGGGGAGGAGGGGAGTTAAAAGGTATGCAAGGAGAAGTAGAAACCTGGGAAGCACTAATGCTGAGACGCCTCAGGCTGAGAGGCCTCTGCATGGAAACAGAGCTGCTGCCCAGCATCAGCGCACCAGGAATTACCTCGATCGAAGCTCCTGTCTTCCGACCTCGTCTCAGCACCAGGTACTCAGCGTCTTCATCCCTGGTAGAAGAGCGCTTCTCCGCAAACGCCAGGAGCGTATCTGTGGGGATATAGAGCAGTGCAGGGACCCGATAGGTGCTCCTGCTCTTCAGATCCTGGCTGAAGAGAGTCACCTTCCCAGTGCTCACTGAAGCCTCCACCATGATCACTCAATGTCTCAGAAGCCTCCGCCAAGACAGACAAGGGATCCAAAGGGTTAACACCACACCGCTGCGGAGCGGCTCTGGGCCACAGGAAACCCGCTCTCAGCCAGATGGTGCCGGCTGCGGTCTCACCCCCGTCCGGGCTTCCTGCTCTTCCCGACGGTGCAGACTAGACCCAGGAGCCTGAAAACAACCAGAGAGGTGAAGGCAGAAGCTGAAACCCGACTCGAGCCCTTCGCCCCGGAGCAGCCGGGCAGCTCCCGAGTCCCTTATGGGGCTGCAGGCAGCATCGCTCGGCCCCCCCGCAGAGCCCCAGGCTGCAAGGGGAGGCGGGAACGAACAGCTGAGCGGAGACCCGCCCGCAGACGCGGCTCCGCCCAGGAGAAGGGCTGAAGAGACAGGCCCCGCCCCCAGGGCACCATGTGCCCCGCCCCTCAGACCTGGCACCGCCCCCCCGGCCCCGCCCGGGCGCTGGGAGCAGCAGGACCCGCTCCCCCCCCCCCGGCCGCGCCTGCCTCCCCCAGGCTCACCCAGCAGGGCCCAGTGTCAGCATGGAGGCTGCTGGACCCAGTGTCCCTGTCCCAGAGCTGGTCCCCGCTCCCACAGGGCTTCCCCTGGGGTACATCCCCTTCCCTGCGAGTAGGGGAAACTGAGGCACAGAGCCGGGCTCTAACCAGTAGACCACAGCTTCCCGCAAGGCGTGCTTCATTTTCACTGCTCCCCTCAGCTGCACAGGGCAAGCCCCCACTGCTCTGTGCAGACAGGCACCTGGGGTACCGGCCTGCCTGCCTGGGTCCACCACTGCTGTCCCCATCCCTCGGCACAGTTATCCTGCAGAATCTGTCATTTCCTCCCCTCTGTCTGTCTCCCCCTGGTTTCCAGCACTTCTGCCACTTTAGTGGGGCTCCTTCTGTAATACACCCCACAGAAGGATGTAGTAGGATTTGGCTACTGTTGGAAGGCAGGATACTAGATGGACTGATCCAGTGCAACCGTTAGTATTGTTAGAATATAGATATTCAGGCCTGACGGCAAAGGCCAAGCCTTTACGAGTACATCTAAATTCTTATCACTTAGCTAGTTAGGGAGGTATAAACAAAGAATCAAAATCACAAGTGTGTCTGGGCTTTTTCTCACTAGGATAGTCTGAGGCCTTATTCTTTGGCTAAGGCCTTACCTTGTGGCTAAGCTGTAGCCGGACAGCCCTCAGCTGGCAAACCAGTCCATTGAAATAAGGTAATGGTGGGCTGTTAAGAAGGTGATCTAATCTTACAGCTCTAGATAAAAGAAAAGACCCTAGTTTCAGAGAGGTGCAAAGATAATGAGGAATCTCCTGGCACCTAAAGTCTAACATTTTTAAGGCATAAGCTTTCACAGGCTGGAGCACACTTTGTAGGGTAACCATCTGTCCCGTTTTTAAAGGGACTGTCACATATTTGAGCCCCCTTGCAGGTGTCCTTAAAAAAAAAGAGAGCAAATTGTCCTGTATTTTTTGCTCTGGCGCTCCCCCCCTGCTGGGCAGCTGGCCATCAGCCTAGCTGCGGCAGCCTCTTTTTTCTGGCTGGCAGATAAATGCGGCAGGTGGTGGCCAGCAGGTGGTGCTCTCAGGCAGAGTTCAGAGGCAAAAAGACACAAAGCCAATAGGAGAGGCAGCCCTGCTTGTGATGGAGGTGTAAGGATGTGGGGGATGCATGTCACCCCTCCACATGTGCACCCTAAAGCGGGGGTGTGTGTGTGTGTATGTGTGTGCCAGTCCTTTCAGGACACTGGGCTAAAGCCCCAATCCCTAGCACCTGCTTCAGGACTGAAATCTTGATCCCCAGTGGCCCCCCTCACACTGAATTCCCAGTACCCCCCCGCTGAAACGCCAATCCCTGATAGCTCCCGTAGGCCTGAAGCCCCAATTCATGGCATCACCTCCTCCATACTGAATTCCCAACACCTCCCAGACTGAAGCTCTGATGTGCAGTTCTTCCCTCCCCCCCGAATTCTCAGCACCCCCAGGATGAAGCCCTGATCTGCGGTGATCCCCCTGAATTCCCAGCACCCCTCTTGCCTTAGGCTAAATCCCCGATGCTGAAAGCAGGAATCGAGGGGCTGAAGTCCTGCTTTCCTCTCCTTCCCCTCCAACCTGAAGCCAAGAGCAGCAGGGCTGAATCCCAGATCCCAAGTGCTCCCCATGCAGCAGAAGCCCCCAGCCCCTTGGCAGAGCTGGGGGGGGGCAGTGCTGGTTATGTTGCCCCCAAATTTCAGTGGAAGTGCAGAGCAGTTTTTGGGACAGACCTATCCCGTCTCTCTCCCCGCCTCCTGGTCAATTTGGAGAGGGAAGCCAGAACCAAGCACTCAGGGGCAGCTGCTCCTCTGGTTGGTGTCATAGAATCATAGAATCATAGAAAAATAGGACTGGAAGGGACCTTGAGAGGTCATCGAGTCCAGCCCCCCGCCCTCAAGGCAGGACCAAGCTCCGTCTACACCATCCCTGACAGATGTCTATCTAACCTGTTCTTAAATATCTCCAGAGAGGGAGATTCCACCACCTCCCTTGGCAATTTATTCCAATATTTGACCACCCTGACAGTTAGGAATGTTTTCCTAATGTCCAATCTAAACCTCCCCTGCTGCACTTTAAGCCCATTACTCCATGTCCTGTCCTCAGAAACCAAGAGGAACAAATTTTCGCCTTCCTCCTTGTGACACCCTTTTAGATATTTGAAAACCACTATCATGTCCCCCCTTAATCTTCTTTTTTCCAAACTAAACAAGCCCAGTTCATGAAGCCTGGCTTCATAGGCTTCTCTAGACCTTTAATCATTCTTGTCGCTCTTCTCTGTACCCTTTCCAATTTCTCCACATCTTTCTTGAAATGTGGCGCCCAGAACTGGACACAGTACTCCAGCTGAGGCCTAACTAGCGCAGAGTAGAGCGGCAGAATGACTTCACAAGTTTTGCTTACAACACACCTGTTGATACAACCTAGAATCATATTTGCTTTTTTTGCAACAGCATCACACTGTTGACTCATATTCAACTTGTGGTCCACTATGACCCCTAGATCCCTTTCCGCCATGCTCCTTCCTAGACAGTCGCTTCCCATCTTGTATGTATGGAACTGATTGTTCCTTCCTAAGTGGAGCACTTTGCATTTCTCCTTATTAAACCTCATCCTGTTTACCTCCGACCATTTCTCTAACTTGCTAAGGTCATTCTGAATTATGTCCCTATCCTCCAAAGAAGTCGCAACCCCACCCAGTTTGGTATCATCTGCAAACTTAATAAGAGTACTCTCTATCCCAATATCTACATCATTGATGAAGATATTGAACAGTACGGGTCCCAAAACAGACCCTTGAGGAACTCCACTTGTTATCCCTTTCCAGCAGGATTTAGAACCGTTAACAACAACTCTCTGACTACGGTTATCCAGCCAATTATGCACCCACCTTATCGTGGCCCTATCTAAGTTATATTTGCCTAGTTTATCAATAAGAATATCATGCGAGACCGTATCAAATGCCTTACTAAAGTCTAGGTATATGACATCCACCGCTTCTCCCTTATCCACAAGGCTCGTTATCTTATCAAAGAAAGCTATCAGATTAGTTTGGCATGACTTGTTCTTCACAAACCCATGCTGGCTATTCCCTATCACTTTATTACCTTCCAAGTGTTTGCATATGATTTCCTTAATTACCTGCTCCATTATCTTCCCTGGGACAGACGTTAAACTGACCGGTCTATAATTTCCTGGGTTGTTCTTATTCCCCTTTTTATAGATGGGCACAATATTTGCCCTAAAGGCTCAGATACCACCTCTATCAGCTCCTGGAGTATTCTAGGATGCATTTAATCAGGACCTGGTGACTTGCAGACATCTAACTTTTCTAGGTGATTTTTAACTTATTTTTTTATTTTATCTTCTAAACCTACCCCCTTCCCACTAGCATTCACTGTTCGGCATTTCTTCATCAGACTTCTCGGTGCAGACTGAAACAAAGAAGTCATTGAGCATCTCTGCCATTTCCAAGTTTCCTGTTACTGCTTCTCCCTCCTCACTGAGCAGTGGGCCTACCCTGTCCTTGGTCTTCCTCTTGCTTTTAATGTATTTATAAAAGGTCTTCTTGTTTCCCTTTATGCCTGTAGCTAGTTTGATCTCATTTTGTGCCTTTGCCTTTCTAATCTTGCCCCTGCATTCCCGTGTTGCTTGCCTATATTCATCCTTTGTTAGTTGTCCTAGTTTCCATTTTTTATATGACTCCTTTTTTATTTTGAGATCATGCAAGATCTCCTTGTTAAGCCAAGCTGGTCTTTTGCATAGGCAGCTGTGCTGTTCCCTCCTCTCTTGCTGCTGCTATTGTTGCAGGGTGTGGAAGCTGCCCCTCAGCTCCCAAACCCCTTTTCTCACACAGCCAGTAAGAGCCACAGGGGAGGTGGACCCAGCTCCATGGCTGGCAAAGCCTTCAGGGAACAGGGGCTGCAGGAGAGCCCTCCTGGCATACAGCCTCTAGTTACCCTGCTCCTGCCCCGAGTTACCTCCTGCTCACACACAGCTCCTAGCTACCCCCCTGCAGCCTGAGCGACTTCCTAGCTGCCCACAGTCCTTAGCTACCCCCTGCATGCAACCTGAGCTACTCACCCTTCATTTCATCCCCAGGGGGGAGCTGCTGGACCCACAGCACTTCAGAAAACCACGCAGGTGCCAAAATGGGGATCAAAGAGCCTTATTTTAAGTCTCCTGATTTTGCCTTCCCCTAAGGGAGCTGGGCAGCGCTGTCTCCTGCTTTATCCTCTCTATATGGATCCAGCCAGACATGTGTCTTGCCTCCACTCTCGCAGCTCCAGTTCCATAGGAAATGGACTGTCACAATCCCAGACAGGTCCCTGGCCCAGCCTCCTTCTCTCCAGCTGCTGTTGTAGGAGGTAGATGCCTGCACCTCATTTTGGAGTGAGCCTCCCAAGCCCAGGCTGGCAGACCCAGGGCAGTTGACCTCCTGCGAGCAGCACAGGCAGGTTTTCTGAACCCTAGGGCGTGGGAGAGAGGGCTTTCATCTGAGGCAGGTCTTCCAAGTGCTGTCTACACCGCTATCTTCAGTGGCAGCATTTCTAACTTAGGAGAAGCGTCTTGGCAATGCAATCAGGGCACGGAAACAGAGTTGGTGCCCAGACTCCATGTCTGGGCACAAGGAATTACCTTGATCGAAGCTCCTGTCTTCGGCCTCATCTCAGCACCGGGCATTCATCTCCAAAGGTCCGGGTTTAATTCCACCTGTCAGGGTTACACGTTAACTGAAAATGCTGCAGAGCCAGGGTTATGGTCCCACCTCCTGCTATGCACATTCTTCTTTCAGTTTCCTTTTGATGCTCTTTCTTTTG